ATGAAAGACGCCACAGGCAAACTCCCAGCACATTCCACGCCCCCGAGGATAGTAGTTAACAATGCAGTGCAAGAAGTGTTGCTGAAAAGCATCGCAGATCCTCCCGATGCACACCCGGTGAGAGAGAAAGACCCTGGAGCCACTGGGACGGAAGGGGTGATGCAGCCGGTCTTTGTCATTGAGAGGGCAAACCTGCAATGGTGAATGATGGGAAGGTGGGGTTGTCGAGATTGCATGAACCGCCTTGATAAACTGTTGCTGTGTAGGCAGCTGAGAGTGTGATGTGGCCACCAATGGTGACGAGGATAGGTAGTGCATAGAATTTCATTTCTCTATTCAAAGGAGATTTAATTTGAGTTTAAGTTTTAGGCATTAGGTTTATGATTCATACAAAATGGATTGAGTTGGCCTTTGCAAGAGTTCCCTTGCGATGAGAATACTGTCAGCAGTTTCGCAAAATACAACAGAACAGTGAATATAACTGACCTGGTATCTCTTAATACTATGTGGACAATGATGTCCTTGGTGCCATGAGGTCCTTTTATACCTTTTAGGACTTCTGGTTATGTTTTTATCCAGTCAGACTAAGATAGCGACATCATCATGTGTGTATTGTCCGTGGGCTTCGCTGTATATTTGAATGAAGCCTTCGGTACTAAGCGCCTAGAAGGTGATGAGCTGAATGTATTTCACCTCTGTCAGATGAACTCTAGTATCATTTTAGTGTTAACATGGAATAGTAATCAATGTACATCCCTCCCACCCCAATATTTTCGGCACTAAAAAAGATCTTCTGGACTCATTAATAGGTAGAGTAAATAGGGTAGGGTTCCAATCAAAATTCAACCGACTCACTTGCTTGTTACATGTAGAGCACCAATTAGGGGTGGATCATTCTCATTCGTGATAAGGCAGTGAACATTTTTCGTGTCAACTTTGAAGCTATTGGGATTTAGAATCAGATGCACATACCTAACAATCCGCTAGTAGCAGTGTTTCGTTTGGCTTCTTAGTGATTACAGGGCGCCAAACGAAAAGGCTTCATGTGATAGACGTTGATATGAAGCTAGAAGTGCCCTAGAAGGATTGTTGGAAGATTAGAGATGTCACTGGCCATGCGACTTTTGAAGCAACGAGGTGAGGTTTCCGAAGGTTGTCAGTGGTATACGAAGATCCGAGAGAGAAAGACTCGTCTAGCAGGAGGATGAACACAATCGAGCCAGTTTAAATCCTCGACTGACAAAGCCGGAGTGTTTGACTTGAGTGTCGACGAGGCCGAGCAGCTGAACTGGAGATTGGACCCAAGTTGACGAAAACTTGCGAAGCCTGAGTAATAAAGTCGAAGGAGGAGATCTATTGGAATTGAGCTCGAGCAGACGTCATGGTGTGGGTTTGATTTTGATTCTTACCACGTTTCCAGTCGGAAAGGCCGAGAGGTGAGCCAAGGTATGGATGACGAGGTCATCATGGTGGTCTGAGGATATAGCACCCTAACGATCTTTGCTAGTATATCGGTTAGTACACGCGCCTGTCACGCGCGAAAGCTGGGTTCGACTCCCAGGCGAAGAGTTAGTGACGAGCAGGATATGTATTTTTTTGTTTCTGGGAGGAATGCTTCGCGTTGTTGAATTTTTTGGCTACTAGTAAATTGGAACGATACATTTCATGGCGGACTTTAATTTCGAAGAAACTAGAAATTAGACAGGAGTAAAGACATGCGTTCAGTTCAGAACTTGGTTATGGCACACGATCAGATGCGGGCAAAGCACAGACTCTTCAAGAGCAGTTGCAACCTGTGAGCAAGAAAGAAGGACTAGGAGCGGTCGAGGACAGTGATGGGCTTGTCATCAACAACGAAAAATATAATCTAACCGACTGAGGTTGACCGTGACCACGACACTCGATGCTCCCTGGGCGACATGCTGGCAGACAGCTGACGCGAATATGTGGGCTGGCAAGACGGAATAGAGGAGATCTGATAGTATCGATAAGAGTCAGAAGACCAGCTCGAGTCCAGTCCGAGTCACACTTTTCTTCTTTTCCTCCCCCCCTCCGGGCGTCCTACCACAACATGGCTGCCTCACTCGCCGACACACTCGCCGCGCTCTCCATAAAACCCTCCGCCGCCATCACACACGCCGAGACCACCTCTCCGGCGACATGGAAGGAAGCCCTGATCGGCTCGGGATCAGCACCGGCGTCGTTTGAATTGATCAAGACGCTGGTCTACAAGCCCAAGACTGCAAAAAGCGCCACTCCCGTCCCAGTCATTGTCATCGCCCGCGAGGAGACAGAGACCAACTCGGCCGCCATTGGCAAAAAGCTCAACTTGAAGGATCTCCGGCTCGCCTCGGAAGACCTGCTCAAGGAATTTTTCTCACTCGATAAAGACTCGCGTATGCCGCTTTCTGTCTCGTCCCACTTCCATCCCCATCTCTGATCTGCATTGCGTATAGTGTCTCCGCTATCGATCAATGAATCCACGTTCTCAAAGGTCCTCACCGTGCTCGATACCTCGATCCCCACTTCTTCGTCCGTCTTTGCCATCCACGCCAACTCTTCCAAGGAAACTATTTTCGTCAGCGGCCAGGACATCGCGTCGTATCTGAAGAAATTCGAGACCGCAGAAACCACCGTGCAGGAGATCGATCTGCACGCGCTCGCTACGGCTCCTGGCGCTGCCGTCCAGACTTCAAAACCTCCCGCGAAAGAAAAAGAGGATGCCAAGATCGAGGGTGCCGTGCAGATTGCCATTGGTGTCAAGAAGGAGGTGGACTTCCCGGCTTGGTATACCAATGTCAGTCAACTTTCTTTTCTTTTTTTTCAATCCCTTGCTTATCCGATGTCTATTAGGTACTACTCAAAGCGGACATGCTCGACTACTACAGCGTCAGCGGATGCTACATCCTCAAACCATGGTCATACAGCATCTGGGAAGAGATCCAATGTGTGTTACCTCTTACCAGAACCATTCCGCTGCTCACACACCCTTAGCTTGGTTCAACGTCGAAATCAAGGAGCTCGGTGTTCAAAATTCCTACTTCCCCATGTTCGTCTCAGCTTCAGTCCTAGAACGAGAAAAGGACCACATTGAGGGATTCTCCCCGGAAGTCGCGTGGGTCACTAAAGCGTATGCCATTCTCCCCTTTCCTTGTTCAAAAAACAGCAGACTGATGGTTGTGTAGTGGAAACTCGGACCTTGAGGAACCCATTGCTATTCGCCCGACATCTGAGACGGCCATGTATCCTTGTATGTACACTCCGACCTTGTATCGGCTACGATCTGACGCGTCATTTTTCAAGACTATGCCAAGTGGATTCGCAGCCATCGTGATCTCCCGCTCAAACTGAACCAATGGAACAGCGTCGTCCGATGGGAATTTAAAAATCCCCGTAAGCGTCATCTCAAGAATACAAATAAAAATAACTAAACCTTCTCCTTCTCCCTCCCAGAGCCCTTCCTCCGCACTCGCGAGTTCCTCTGGCAAGAAGGCCACACCGCCCACCTCACCAAAGCCGAAGCCGACACCGAAGTCCGCCAAATCCTCGAACTCTACCGCCAAGTGTACGAAGACCTGCTCGCCGTCCCCGTCATCCCAGGCATCAAATCCGAAAAAGAGAAATTCGCAGGCGGGCTGTACACCACCACCATCGAAGGATTCATCCCTACCTCTGGGCGGGGGATCCAAGCTGCCACATCCCACTGTTTGGGACAGAACTTCTCCCGAACGGAGATGTTCAACATCTTCGTTGAGGACCCGAACACAGGCGAGAAGACACATGTGTGGCAAAACTCGTGGGGGTTGTCGACGCGGGCGATTGGGGTGATGGTGATGGTGCATGGGGATAATCAAGGATTGGTGCTCCCTCCTAGGGTGGCGAGTGTGCAGGTGGTGGTGGTGCCTTGTGGGATTACGGCCAAGACGACGGATGAGAAGAGGGAGGAGATTAATGGGAAGTGTGAGGAGCTGGCGAAAAAGTTGAAGAAGGCGGGGGTTAGGGCCAAGGCGGATTTGAGGGAGGGGTATACGCCGGGGTATAAGTTTAATGATTGGGAGCAGAAGGTTTGTTTTTGCTTTCCTCTATCTTTTATTTTTATTTTTTCGTTTCTAACCAGTCTATTTATTTCAATCTAGGGTGTCCCCCTCCGCCTCGAAATCGGCCCTAACGACCTGGCCAAATCGCAAACCCTGACCGTACGTCGGGACACTGGAGCTAAAGCCCCCATCCCGCTCGCCAACGTCGAGTCCACCGTTTCCCAGCTCCTGCAGACGATCCAAGCGGACATGTACACCAAGGCGAAGAAGGAGTACGACGGGCACGTGGTGGAGGTGACCAAGTGGGAGGAGTTTGTGCCTGCGCTGGATGGGAAGAATGTGGTTGCGATTCCGTGGTGCGATCGCGAGGCGTGTGAGGATGATGTGAAGGAGAGGAGTGGGCGGGCGTGAGTTGTTTTTTTCTTTTTTGTTTTCTTTTTTTGTTTTTCTCTTGCGCTTTGTCGCGTTTACTCATTTATTCTCCTTCTTTTCACAGTTCCGAACCGCAAGACGAACGCGCCCCCTCAGCGGGAGCCAAAACCTCTGCATTCCATTCGACCAATCCCGCTGGACCCCGATCGAGCCTGGCAAGACGAAATGCCCGGCATGTGGACAGGACGCGAAGCATTGGACCTTGTTTGGGAGGTCGTATTAAATAAGGTGTTAAGATCTAGGAGTATAACATTGGGGGGCTAACTCGTATTCGTATTAGATGGGTGGTGATAAAATATAAGACGATAAATTAGAGCGGAAATTAAGGAACAAGAAGTTTTTTTTCTTTCTTTTGCCCGGAGCTCGAAGTCGAGATAGTTTGGATATTCGTGATTTCTGGTTCGATCGAGGCCTTTAGGAGGGGGGAATTAAATTTTGAGTTGTGATCGAGATGATGTATGGGTGCTGCAAGAAGAATTTTGACCAACTTCTGGATACAACATAGATCTCTCCTTGACCAACATTAGTAACTCTCTGTTAGTATATCGGTTAGTACACGCGCCTGTCATGCTTCAGTGTTTGACTTCTGTTGCGCGCGAAAGCTGGGTTCGACTCCCAGACAGAGAGATGTAGTTAATACGGACGAATTTTTTGCGGAGATCACGTCTGACTGATTGTGTTGATCAAAGCACTGAATATGTTTTTGTTTTAAAACGATGGGTCTTTCCAGATTCAATTTATTTATTTTATCACCATCAGTGCCCTTGCAGTTTGGAGCACGGCTTATTTTTATGGTGATCATGAACTGGTCATCACCCACCAACGTGACGACGCCCCTCTACCTAATCTACGATGATACTGGAAGAGCAGGTGAATGTTGGTGTTATCATCCTCTTGAACTCTCTTTTTTGACTATGAATAACGACCATAATGGAAACCCCACTCGGTATCTGCTGTGCAGACATCCCAGGTGCCGAATGCTCACAATAGATTGGGATTGGGGCATCTTCCATCCGAATTGATCGTCGAGATCTTCAAAGAAGTAGCCTGGAAGGATGTTCTTTCCATCCGGAAGGTGCGTTGGGACGATTTCGTGCGAGTTATACAATGATTTCCTCTTAACAATGCGTTATCTAGACCTGCAGGCGCTTTTGCGAGCTATCCAAAACGCTCTCTATCTGGAAAAATCAATTCCTTGAACATGATGGGTACACGCCCCAAGAGCAAGCTCGAAATCGATTGATAACTCCCACTCTGAGCCCGCGATTAGAGCGTCTCATGGAGTCTTACACCTCTCCCGAGCTCGAGCATCTCTTTCTCAGATGGCAAGGCGCAGAAATCGGGTGGTCAAGAGACGACAAGTTCCCCGTCCGGCAGAGGAGCGTCACGCTGCGCATACCCCAATCGCGGCCATTCCTCCTGATCGAGGGCGGGAGGTGGGTGCTGTTCGCTACTACGGCGGGATCGGTGGAGTATGTCGATCTCGATGCGCAGTCTGAGGATATGGTGGAGAGGCTCTTGGTTCCCAAGCAGACTACGAGCGGGGCGTCCACGAAGATGGCGGTGGACATCGATGATAAGGAGCCCGTGTTGACTTTCAACTTGGCTTTGTCGATATCGACGCGGAATGAGGAACTATTGCAGATCTGGAAGGTGGTTTTGGAGGTGGATGAGAAGGGTAGGGGAGTAGGTCTTTCAGCTCGGCACGTCGCTTCATACTCTCAAATTCCCAATCGACCGTTGGAGGGTATCGCTATTGGCGGACCTTATTTCGTTTATTACTTTTGGCTCGAGAATCATGATCCCGAGACTCATTTTGTGGTGGTCAATTGGCAAGAGGCGCTGGCGTCGCAAGGACACGAGAACGGACTAATATCAAACTATTCCATGAGGATTATAAGTAATCATTTGGTAGAGAAAATAGTGCGTCTTATTCAGATCTTCCGTTGAGCTGCTACTGATACCACAAATAGAACGCCGTTTACTTTCTGGAAGGGAACAAGTTATTCATCTCGACGTCGAATCGTCAGCTCATTTACAACATCGAAAGCATCCCCATTTCCCTTACCTTCCAAATCCCTCCTGGATCAATCCCTCCACTCTTGGAAGTTCTGGAAAAATGTTCGGTGATTTCGAACCCTTTCATTTTCCCCTACTCAGTAGTCCGATTCTCTTTATTGAGCGAGGAGCTTATCAAAGGAATGAATATCAATTTCAATTCACCAGTCCCTTCTGCGCAGATATACACGTTGAAAAGCGCACCCATCACCCTCCTCCGAGGACTTGTCCCGGTTTTGGGATACAAAAGGGGCGTTTTCATGCGTCGGCATGGGGGAGTCGCTATACTCTCCTACCCATGGCCAGGACACGAGGACTTCGAGAATTTTAGAGCTTCAGTTATACTCAAGGATTTCTCTCGTGAGAATTGGGCTGGCAGAGTTCGTGGTCTCGATGAATGTTCGGGTCGCATTGTTTTGGAACCTTTCATTCTCAGTAAACCTGTCATCACGTTGGATATTTCCCTGATTTATAGAAGCGTTTTTTGACTTTGGACAATCGTTAATTATTCCCTAGATGCTATAATTGGGGAGCTTGCTCCCCTTTGAATAGCGCGCGCTGAGAGGTGGTTGTGTTTGCATTGAGAGCCTTTGGTACCCCGTGAGAAAAGCAAGGCTGCGCGCCGAGGCCGAGCCTCAGCACTGAGCACAGCACACGCCTCAAGCTGTGGCAGTGTGCGCACTAGGGTTGCGTAAAAAACTATTTGTTTTTTACCGGCCCGGTAATTTACCTCCTTGATAGGGCAGGGTTCGCAGGTGGTAAGTTACCTGTATCACGTGATAGGTCAGTTGGGGGCCGAGGAGCAAGGAGGTTCTAACAGCCACCTTCGGGCTGTATAATTCTAGCCAAGAATATGTAGTATCTCCTATACCACTTTAGAGCTGGTCAGCCATCAGGAATGTGCTATGTACTTGAGTAGCTAGCAGACCAGTCCTCACTACTCATTCACAGTAGTAGCCGGACCGGCAGAAATCATCAATTTTCTCGACATTTGCCTCGACATTTATCTCACCCCAATGACCCGCATAGCAGCCATACCTCTCAGTATATCTGAGATTTTGATACCAGAAGATAGTCTCAATGTGGTGGACTTGTCTACTTTCCCAGTCCCTTCTGACAAGAATGCCCCGAAGCTACTTGATCTCACCGACGACATGCTCTTCTTGGAAACAGCCAGCCTCATCCAAGATGAACAACGGGTCGCATTTTTACAATCTCTGGCCATGCCAACAGGTGAAGAAACTCTAGAAATACGCAAACGAAGGGGCGTTGCATTGGAAGCCAATCAGACAATCCAATCCCTCGTTTACCCCCACGGAAACATGGATATATGCCTGCCATTGTGGATTGTTGAATACTGGCTTGAGGCGAACTATATTTTGGAAGCAAAAATTCAGTGGCAAGTGAATTAGTTGAAATCAAAGCCAGTGTTGGCACCAGGTGATGCTCCTAGTGCTAATCTTGACGACAATGACTTCTCGATGTCATTTGATTAGCGTATCGAAAGGAGGTGATGTATAGTAGTGCATAATCAATGGTTGCGAGAAGCCTGCAGAGTCGTCAAGTGCCGCAGGCGGCGAAAAAATAATATATTAAATATTTAATGCACGTGACATGTAACTTACCAGTAAGTAACCCCCCCAGGAGTTTTTTATGCAACCCTAGTGCACACATGATGGGCACATCACATGTCATCCAAATATGGCTTTGCCCTTCCATTTCTGTTACTTCGCCTCAATTCTTGCTCTAAACCACCTTCAAACTGTGTCCCTCCTTCTTCCTGTTGGAATATGGCAAGCTAATCCGCATTCAGTAATTACTTACATAATTGTAGCTTTATCGGAGCTTCCCCCTCCTGTACTTTTCTCATCCGTTTGCCTATGAGCTCCCCAGGCCAAACGCGAATATATGCCCATTTTGTGTCCTTCCGATGTCGTCCTCATCCCCTGCTTCGTCTATTTCAACACTTCCACAGTTCAGAATCACTTTCTGCTTGACAAATATCATGTAAGCATCTAATCTACTGCTATCTAGCTGTAAATAATTAGTGAATACTTGACATGTACAGCTCTCTGACTCAAGAACCTCTAAATCTCTTCTGAACTCTGGCCTACATCAGTTTGCTGATCAAAAGGATCAGGTACTGGAAAATTTCTTGGTAATTCCATACATGACTGATATCAATCTTAGCATCTATCCACTGTGCAAAATTTTGCACTTCTTATCTACATTTTGAAGTATAGCCTATTCTTTGTAACCCTTGACCAGGCCGCAACCTTACGTTGCCCACCAGTTGAGGAAGACACTGCATGCCATTAGGGCTGGTGTGCTTAGGACAACCATTTGGACCCTAAGCTAGTTAGTTTTCCTTCTGTAGTCAAATTCAAACTGAACTAGTGTACTACAACCCGAATTAGTGTAGACGTGCTGATTTCTGGACTGGACCAAAATTTGGTACAACTTGGGTTTCCAATAACCTTTCTACCTGCTCCATTGCTATGCCTACTAAGGATCCTGCCTATGCTAAAGCAAAAGCAGCATGTTGTAATGCTCGACATAGTCTTCATAGTCAATCTTCAAATCAGGCCGGGCCATCTCATATCCAACTTCCTGCACCAGCAAATCCTCAAACACTTTCGCAAATTTTAGGAGATGTTCCTGGACCTGCTCAAACTACTGAAGCTTGTCTACCTTCTCACAATTCAGCCATTTCAACATCTATACATGCTCGATTCCATTCACAAATTGTCACCAATACTCCAATAGTCACTATACAGAGTAAGTCAAACCAGCTAGTCAATTATTTCCTATAAATAACAGTCATCAGCCCCACAGACACTGAAAAGCGAGTTAGTTGGTCGAGTCGAGAAATGACTCAAAAGCAAACTCTGTTTGCTTAAAGGTTCCAAAAGCATATTTGAGTGTTGATAGATCCATTGGAATAAATTCCTGTAGATTGGATCTGGTGTGAACATGAGAAACTTGGTAATAACTAAGATGTCGAGGGCAACTATTGAGCTAGTGAGCTGAAATTCTGCTATATTCAACTGGGTAAATACTGTACAAGTGTCCAGGTATTTATACTGTAGCTACATAGTCAGAAAGAGATGAAAATTAAAGTAAAAATTTCGAATAAAAGTTGTTTGAAGGTGTGTTCAGTCTGTTTCTGCAGCACACATCATCACCACGGCAATTATCATACTTTAATAGGGAAAGAAAAGGTCATGAAATTGATTTATATCACAAGAATGAACCATTGAGAACCAAAAGAAATTGAAAACTCGCCAAAAAACATCCAAGAAATAATGTTCTAACCCAAATTTAGAAGAGGGCGGGGCATATAGGCATCATCGAGGGGCTGTGCAGTGACAAGAATGATGCGCATAATCAATTTCTTTTGTTCGAGCTCGGGGCATGCCTGGTTGGTATGGTAAGTATGCGCTTCTAGTGATTCTGGATCTAAATTTGGGTAGATCCCTGCTTAACGCTTGACGAAATAAGGTGCACATGTGATCATGTGGGGCACTTGTTCCTATTTGGATTATTGACTTGGTGCATACTTGGTCATC